ATTTAATATGGCATTGGTGAAAGGGGAGTCACAGAAAGAGAGATGAGCCCAAATGAACAAATTAGGGCTTATAAATTTACAGAGTAAAGCAGTAAACAGACCCATGCACACAAAAGAAAACAATAATGAGGAATGAAGAGGTGATGGGTCTCATATAACCATGTGAGTGGAGGTGACCACTATGTGTCAGCCCCTAGGAGAACTTTGCATTCCATCTGGAATCAAAATGAGTAGAAGGAGCTGCTCTAGGGTGGGGTTGGGGTGGGATAGGAACATCCCAGGAAGAAGCATCCACAAATACAAACTCCCAGAGACAGAAAGAAAGTTGGTGAACTCTGGGAATAGACAAAATTTCAATGTGTCTGGAGTTCTGTGGTTATTACAGCAGAGTATAAAACACAGCCAGCACCCCAGACAGCTCACAGTCTGATGGGAGAGATGAACATAGCAACAAATCATTACAATACATTATGGTAAGCACAGGGATAGAGATAAGACAAGTAGGAGTGCTATAAATAGAGAGGAGATGTTCAGGTCTGGAAGCAGGCGGGTGCCATATTTTTCATAAAACTTTTGAAAGTTTTATGAGAGATTTTGCCAAAAAGATGGTAAGTAGTAAATGGGAGATATTGCTAGAAAGGGAAATCTCTGGAAGGGAGAGGAAAAGGGAGAATACAATATATTTACAATACATTTACAAGCTGTTGGATTAGTAAACACAGAGAATAATTGCATAGTTCAGCCAGATTCAAGAATCGGAGAAAACTTCTCTTGCAGACTCTAGTCAAGGTTCATGGTAAGTGATAGATCCCATAGCTCTGTATCTATATTGCCTTACCTGGCATCCTTAGGATTGCTGCTTCAAAGGAAACCTACAAATTAGAGACCCAGGACTGAAGGATGTCTCTCAGGACAAGGCATGTCTACACTCACTCACCTGGAGTACCCAGAGGGCGCAGAACAATTTTTGCTTCTGGGATTGTTCTTTCTCCCCTAGCTATCAACTCTGGCTGGAGAAATTAGGTCATCAGTATTGGAGTGGTGGCATCACTAAAAAGAGAATTATGCTTGTAAACACCAGCAATGTAAAGGATAATGGCATAGTTAGGGGAACACATATATTATGGTCTTATGGTGGCAGGTGTGTGTGTGTGTGTGTGTGTGTGTGTGTGTGTGTGTGCGTGTGTGTGTAGGAGACTGCAGTAATAAAAAACCAAGTTGAAGAATTAGGTTAGGGGCAAGTTGTGAAAGTTCTTGAATGATTTTGGAGGGACTTTAGGTTTTATCTTGTGGGCAGTGAGGCATCATAAAAGTGTTTTAAATAAAAGAGATGTGTAGAGCAGCCAGCTCGGAATGCAGTTTGGAAGATTACTATGGAGGATTAAACAAGGAGGTGGGAAGACCAGTTGGGGAATAATTGCAATCACTGAGGCAAGAAATGATGTGACACTAAATTAAGATATTAGTACTTGGAATAGAGATGGTAGGATAAAGATTGAGAGGAGGTATAAGCAGCATAACTGACAGAATTTAGGGATTACTTAAGAAGAAGGTATAAGAAAAAAGAAGCAAGGGCCTAGGAAACATCTGGTTTTGGCATGGGTGCCTCAGTGGCTGGAGATGCTGCTGGTCATTGCTTGGAACACAGGAAAGGAGTAGGTTGGGAGTTGAGTGTGGTAAGACATATATAATTATGTATATAATTGAGTCTGTGATACTTGCAGAGTATCTAGGGGAGATGCAAATCCAGGCATAGAGTACAGGAAAGGAAAGAGTTTGGAGTTAGAAATACCAATAAAAATCACTAGTTATAGGAATTAGTTGAAACCAAGAGAGCCAATGAAATAATTATAGAATTTGACCCAGCCGTTGCTGCCACTTAGGTCACATGCGGACTCTTGCATAATAGAGAGAAATATTTTTTGCCAGAAGGTATAAACAACTCCCAAGATCCCAGAGCCACAACCATCTGAATTCTTCAGCTATGCATTTGGCAGAAGCTGAAAACCAGCATCCATAGAGAAAACATATTTTGTCTGGTAGATCCAATTTTCCTTGCCCAAAATTCTTAGTTTGGATAAAAAGACTATATGATATTTGACATATGGTTGGTTTAGGAATGTTTGTTTCCTCAATAAGTCGATCAGATTTGCATATGATCCATTTGATCACTTACCACAATCAGTTATAAATTTAGCAAATACTTGGCAAAATTATAAAAGCTTACATACACAAATTAGATGGGCTGTGAATACAGACATGGAAACAGATGCATAGATTCTTTCTGAAGTTTTCTCTGTCAGGGTTCCTTCAGTTCTCAATCTCTTCTGGGGAAATCAGCATTGACTGTGTCATTCAAAGTGAAATTCATTGATGGTTTGTTTTGGTGACCCTATAAATGTCAGGAGTGTGGAAGTGTTAGGCTGGCAGCTTCAAAGCAGTCTTCATGGTACTCATCAAGAAAGACCCAGTGAATAATCCTTTTGGTAAGTTTGATTTTTCTGTGCTCTTCTATATATATTCATTATTTCATTTCCCAAGTATTTGACACTCCCTAAGGCAAACAGAATTTGACATGGTTTAAGCCCTTGATTTATCTAAAACTTCTCAAGATTATCCTTCGTTATATTGAGAAGGTCTTGATTTTCTTTGGTGAAAATAAATGCTGTGCTTTTACTTTATTTGCAAAATGATAACAAAGCATCTGTACATAGCAGCAAGTGCAAGTAAAGGTTACAAGTGGTGAGGTTTTCTTTGTTAAAATTACTTTTAACATTACAAAAGTGATGCATAATTTTAAAATTTCAAGCTATTAAATATAAAAAGTAATTTTAAAAAGAGGGAATATTCACGATCATTAAAAACTTGATCATCATTTCATGTTTATTAGCCGCTTATAGATAACATTTACAAAAAGGTGTAGATAACATTTACAAAAAGAATAACATACTAACTTGTTTTGTATCCTTATTTTTACTTAACAGAATATTTAAGCTATTGTTTCCTATCAACGCTATGGCTCTACTTCATTCTTTTAAAAACTGACATGGTATTATGTAGTAAAGAGGTTCCATTATTTAACCATGACTCTATTGATGGACATTATGCTGCAACTATAGAAAATACTGAACAGCCTTGTACCCACATTTTTGCACACACATATCTGCAAGATACATTCTTAGAAGTGGAGTTGCTAGGTCAGATGATAAATGTGGTTTTTTTCTGACTGCCATTGCCAAATTATCTTACAAAGGAGTTGTACCAATTTACACCCTAACTATGAATAAGAATGCCCACTTCCCTTGATCCCCCATAGTACAATATTCTAAAAAACTTTTGGGTCTTTGCCAACCCAGTAAGTGAAAAATGATTACCCTGTAGCTGAGTCTGCATTTCATTGTGGTTTGATTTGCATTTCTTCAACTATTCCTTTTTCAGTGAATCAGATACTTACATTTTTACTCATGCTTTCCAGTGACTTTTTTTTCTTATTTGTAAGAACTGTTTGTTCATTAAGAAAACTAATGCTTTGTTATATTTGTTGCAAACAAATTAACTCAGTTTGTTGTTCAACTTTTGAATTTGCTTATGGTATTTTTACAATGTGAAAATTTTTAATTTTATGAGCTGAAATTGATGAATCTTCTATGGTGTCACATTTCATATCTTGCTCAAAAAGCATTCTCACCATCACAATTATAAAAACAAAGTTTTCAGTCATTATTTTTTAATCTTAAATGTTTAATAGTTTGCTCTATCTGGAAATGTTTTGGGCATAAGGATTGAGGTAGGGAACCAATTTAATATTTTCCAGAACCTAAACTATTTATAATATCTTACCCGGCCCCATGATTTATCACATTTTGGAATCCCTTGTGTAGCTTAGTCTATTTATTAAACTTATTCTGTTCAACTTTTTTCCTACTTATTCATATTCCACAACCAAATTGTCTTGGTTATTATAGCTGTATAACATATTGAAATATCTTTCTTGTTTTTCTACTTTCTTTTGGTATTTTCCAGCTATTCTTTCATGCTTATTTTATCATGAAATCGTTGGAAGCAGGTTGTGCAATCACAAAAAAAATTAATATCTTGTTGCTAGCATGATGAAGATTGTGCTACTTGACCTATTTATAGCTCAATTTAGGGGAAACTGAAACTTTAAAAAAAAATCAAGGCTTCTTAACAATCCCCATAAAATAATTTCTTATTGTTAAATTTTTCATGTATGGCCCTCAAAATCATTTTAAAGTGTTCTTCACATAGATCTTATACATTTCTCAGGTTTATTCCTATGGGTTTTATGGATTTCATTTATATGTAAAAGAAATCTCTTCATCAAGTATATATTCTATGTAATTTTGTATGTAGAAAAGCTATTGATTTTTGTGTGATTTCAGATTATTTTTAATAGTTTCTTAGGTTTTAATGTGTTTTCCTTGGATGTTCAAAACTCAGTCTTCTATGAATCAATAATAAATTTGGCTCCTTCTAATTTCTGTACCTCTCATTTCTCTTTTTTGATTTCTCTGACTCCTTTCTCCAAAAAGGAAAATAAGAGTGATGTATTTAAGAAACCTTTTGCCATTAAGAAATGTTAAACTTTTATGTAGGAAAAAAATCTGTCAATTCTTCTGTGGCTTCATGTCTTGTTTCAGAAGATTTTTCCCATCCCCCACAGGCTAAAGACACATTGCATATTTTCTTCTAATATTTATAGTTTTCATTTTACATTTACATCTTTAATCCATCTGGAATTTATTGCTATATATTTCAGGAGATAAAAATCTAACTTTATTTTTTCCAGATGGATTGCAAAATTTCCCAACATCATTTGTAAAATTGGTCAGCCTTTCCTCACTGGTTTGAAATGCCACTTTAATCACATTCTAAATAGATCAGTTTTATTCTTTAAACCAGAGCTTAAAAAGTGTAAAGGAAATGAATTGAAGTAGAGAACAAAGACATGAAAAGCCAGCAAAAAATCCACATTAAGATAAAGTTGTGCACACACTATTTAATGCATATAATAAAATACAAAGGCCACTAATAGCAAAATAGCATAAATATAAATACTCCAGAGAAAATATTCTTATATGGTATTCTAGTAAGAAAGATTCAGAGGATGGAATGGATACTCATAAAATATAAGACTGTAGCAGTTAATTATTCAAACATTGTGTAAAGTTACTCCCTGCATATGGAATGTTATTTGAAGCCTCAAAGCTGTAAACATCCTCCAGCTGCCTAGTTTAACCCCAAATCAGATGTTTTTGAGAGCAAATCAGTATGTCCACTGAGTAAAAAGCAAAGTCTGAAATTAGAAAAAAAAAATAACAATCCTCTTTTCTTCTTGTAATTCAAGACTGTTTGGTTTTTCATTTGTGTCTCTGAGTCTCTGTAGTATACGTCACCATCCCTCTCGCTTGACATTGGAGGAAGGCTAACATGGACAGAGACCTGGCATTTGCAATTCTTTCGCTCTTTTAACAGGAAAAGTTGGTTAAGAATTATCAGGAATTAAATGCCAAACAGATTATTACATTCAACTCTGAAACCTGGATAGAAATCTTAAAGCATGTGTCCCTGCAAATGCATGGCTCTCCAGAGCTTTGAAAAGTTTTAATTAAATAGTTAACAATGAATAGTTAGGATTCACTATTCATTATAATAGTGAATCCTGATTTTCCTTGGCCATATCTATAGGGTTCTATAAGGCCTGAAGTGCTATTTGTTAGTGGAACTAAAACAGAGCCAAGAGTAAATTTATATCAGACTCTCCACTGGAACATTATAAAGAATGTTATGGGCCAATTCAAAATTTTATTTTATTATGCTATTGATACAGCTTAAATAAAAATTAAAAGAATAACCAAATATAAAGACAGTTTACTAATATTACTATGTCAAGTCATGTCCTTTGAGAGTCATCCAGTAAGGGCAAAAGAAATACACAAGATGATCATGAGGTGCGTTTTTACACAGTATCATTGAAACATGTGCATTGTGTTTTCTTTTACAAGTGGAATGATATGTTTTTAGAAAGAGTATTTGAGTGAGCTTTAATGAAGGAATTAAATAACAACAAAGGCAATAATAGCAACAGCACCAACAGCTTCAAATAAGCCACTTTCATCAGGGGTTAGGGATTAATCCGTTGTGTGTCTGGGTGAGGGGTTATGACAGACGGGATGGCTTGCATAACGTTATACAGGTGACGTAAGTAAGTTATCTTATTACAAATAAAATATAAATGTAAACAAGTCCCAAGATGTCAACACATGGGAGGTAATTGATGTTCCAGCCACCTTATAACAAACACTTAGATGTTTTGAAACATTACATTATTTAGCATTCCACACTAAAAACAGGCAATTAACTGAATAAATCTGTAATATTTCATCAGGAGTCTTACGACTGGCTATTATATAATTTAGGTTTAGGGTTTTTTTTTTTTTCCAAATAAATTAAAGGAATGTAGATTTTTTTTTTCCCCCTACTATAAAAGCAGCCAGTCTAAGAGGGTGGGAGTACTGGCAGCTAGGTTAACAAATGCTGCCCTAAGCAGATTTTCCTGGAAAATCTTGTAGAGCCTGTGTCTATTTTTGCCACTATTAATTGCCAAGATGGTCCTGGATGCTCTTTGACTTCCTGACCCTCTAAATAAAGCTAGACTTTAGACAGGCTTTTTATTTCTCAGGCCAGCAGAAGAGTGCTAATTACAAAATACTTTAATTTAAACACTAGAAACTCATTCACGAACCCAAGCCAAGTCTCAGATTTGAAAGCATTTAAAAATATCCTTGCAACAGCCGTACTACTTTATACTTTATCTATTTTTAGGGCCTCAGTGTTTGTTTTGCTGGAAGAAAAAAAATTAAAACATGAAAAGTATGCCATGAGCAAATCTGCAATAATAAGCAGCACATACATGTTGTGGAAGAAAATATTCAACATGAAGCAGTCAACATAAAAACAGATTCTGCTGAGGCATTTTTATAAATAGCAGTTATTATTTTGCTTTCAACTGCTGAGCACTTTAAATAACACGCCCTTAAAAGTTGTCAAGTGCTCTACTTCATATAAATATAATTTCTTGATCTTAACTTTCATGAAATTATTATGGAAAATTATAAATGTATTCCATTAGTTCCATGTGTCATTTTATAGTCATAATATTGTTAAAATTAGAAGCACAAGGAAGAAATAAAAACATAACAATGGCGTTGAAGAAGCCATTTATGAAAAAATATGCATGACTCTATATAAAAACAAAATTTGTTGACAAAAGTTTCTATAAAATGTTTCAAATAGGTATCATGTCACCCAGAGATTTACAGATAAAATTGTCCCAACTGGCTGTCAATAGGTCATACCAAATTAAGAGCATACCCTACTTAAATGTCCCTTTGAATTCTCGAATATACTAATTGGGGGGAATTAGGTTTTGAACCCAAAACAACAGTTCTGGAACTGCGTGCCTCATGTAATTACTGCTATACACCCGGGAAAATTTTCACACTGTATCTTTAAAAGGTTCTGAATCACCTCCATCTGGAAAGTATAGAGGTATGTAAAGGAAAAGGATGGCTATTTCAATTCTAGGAAAATGAAGTCTTAATGCACGAAAATAAAGCGAATTGCCTGATTTCCACCACGGGGTAGCACATTCCGACTCCCGTGACTCAACAAGAGCTGTTGGCCGTGGGTGGGGCTGATGCAATCCTCCATCACCATGTTCCCTGAGACCAAAGGCCGCCCCCAGTAGTGGCGGTTCAGAGAAGCTGCAGCTTTGTTCTCTACTGTGGCAGACACCAGAAACCATGGTAACACTTACAGGGCCCGAAACACCTTTATTCACTGCTTCAGAGCTTCTCTGCCTCAGCCCACATGATTCGACTCGGCAATATAGAAAATGGTAAAGTAGGATTCAGAAAAATACTGACGAACACTGCAAATCATGTTCAGAGTAGAAATTGTGACTTTGCTAGCTTTTCGACACTATTTCCTGCCTTGCAACTAACAGATATGTAACTAAAATGGCTTGCTGTGAATTGTGTAGCATCCAAGCCAGAAGCAATAAAATTTCTGTAAGAGCATATGCGCCATGGCAGAAGACAACATCAGCCCCGAAAAATGATTTTCCTGGGAAGGCCTGTGCAGCGATGAATAGGGCTCTCTATGATACGGAAGCTGGGCAGAGATTTTCGCTGCTTCCAGCCCACAGTGAGGTAATTTTAAAGGCCCTTTTCCCTTCATTTGTTCTGCATTCACTGAATGTACATTTTTTGATGTCACAGGGACATTGCAGAAAAGATCAGACAAAATAGTCTGACAATGGAGCCAAACTTGAAAGCTTCTCTATTTTCAGGTAACAGCCGCGACAGTTTGTCTGCACTAAATCTTTCGAGGGCATGTCACTGTAACCCCTTCCATAGCTTTTCAAACAGTTCAAGACAAACAAATCACTTAGTCGTTGAACAACTGTAACATCTGATACCATCGCACAGAAGTTGTAGCAATAGTCACTAATCAAAGTTTCTTCCATTCAGTTGAAAAAGAAAACTCCTCGGCTTTGGTTTAAGATCACCTTTTTATGTTGTCCTTTTGAAAATTATTATATGCCAAGGTTGGGGGAGAAAAAGAATCCTCCCTGTAAGAAGAAACAGAGAGTCAGGTTCTAGCCGAAGACCACTGTCAATCAATAACTATGGGGTGGGGTGGAAGTCCTCGGAGGTGGCTGGGGAGCACCTCAAAGGAATAGCCAGGCCCTCCTTAGACTCGCTTTGCCAGTCCCGCAGAGAGGGCCCACTCTCAGAGGTCTGTCTCCGGCAATGGTGTTCTCCTTTCAGGGCCTCTGACTGGCTTCTCAACGAAGCACGGACTGCCAATGCCAGCACCACCAAGCGATAGAGTTGCAACACCACCACGAGGAAGTTCTTCGCGGCAAAGAACACCAGCATCTGATTGATCACTTTGAAATACGTCATCAGTATGAGACGCACGACAAGGAAGGGCCCATCTTGTATGAAGACGCTGATTCCGATGTTCCACAGATCCGCACTGCACTGGCAAAAGAAGAGGCTGGGAAATCCCTTCTCTGTCACAGAGACAGGGCACATGACATTCTGTACTGAAAACACAAGACCGACTAGTTACTATCTCTCTTGGAAGTATAGACATGTAAGACGATGACATGGAGACAAGTCATTAACAATGAGGACTGTGCAGATAATAATTCTGTGATTTAATTACAGAACGGAAATCAAATGGAATTATCTAGTAATTTAAATCTGGGTGGAACAAGTGAAAACACCCTGCCCTGTGGCTTGCATCCATGTAGGAAATGTAAGATCATGTAGTTCTTACCCTGGGAGCAAAGCACAATTAAATAGATTCTAGGAGCCGGGCATGGTCGCAAGTGCCCTTAGCCCAAGCTCCTTGTGAGGCTGAGGCTGCACCATGAGAGGAGTAAAGGAAACTGCCATTGTGATCCTGGGGTCCACAGTGTAAGGAGCCCTCACAGTTGCATGATCGAGGCTTCAAGTCAGGAAGCATGACTGTCGCATTTTCTAGCAGCCAGTTACTGGCGTGGTTACTTAAGCCTTCCTGGGCCACAGTTTCTTCCTTTAAAAACTGGGATAACAATCATATCTGTGAGGAGAGGGGTCCTTATTCATTGACTCATTTTGTTTCCGTTAGAATAACAGCCCTGCTTTCTGTCCACTTTTTCCTTCAATCTTCCCCCTTAGGATCACAAATGATTTGTTTGATTGATAAGCTTGGGAAACCAAGCAAAGTGTACATGGCTCTGATAATTCTACATCCTCTTTTTAGGATCTGTTGGTTAGTTTACACACTCAGTCATGTGTGCAAATTGTGCTGTGAAAATTCAAGTGCTTATATTCAAATTCAAACTTAATTCATGTGAAATGTATTTTTTAAATGATGGAGGAAAAAAAGTCCTGAATAAATGCCATTGTTATTTTATTTTGTCCTAATTCCTTGTGCTTTTGTTTCACAGTTTACAAGAAAGCTGAATATAATTACTGATTTTCCAGTTAAACAAAAGGAGGTCCAATCAACAGAAGAAACTTTTGTCTTAATTTCTCAAATGTAAATTTAATTCAGGGTCAAGGACAGAAAATAATCCTTTTATAATAATGAAGCCTTCCATTTGGAGTTTTCAAACAAAGAATGCCTTCGTCTACTGGAGCCTGCAAATATTATGAAGCTGCTTTGATATGGATGAACATAATGTACTATTTGTTGGAAAATACAATAACGATTTAGTCAGAAGTAACATTTGGTCTTTGTTTTTCAAACAGCTGCATAACATTATCACCCCTGAAAGTTTACAAAATTTCTTTCTTAAATACAAATTTTCTTAGCAAGGCAATAAACCACAAGATACAGGAGGGTGAGGATCAGCAGAGTGAAAGACAAAAGAGGAACCAAGGTAAGATCAATGGTAGCCTTTCTGAAGAAATGAGGGCCAGGAAATGGCTCCCAAAGGACCTTCTAATGGTATTAACTCAGTATCTAAAATGATGGCACCTAATATTCTATAAGTGGACACCAGCTTGATCAATGAGTATAGCATACCTTCCAGGGCACACTATGACAAAATCTCTGTGTGTATGTGTGTGTTACTGGCACATATTTGTTTGTAATTATTAATCAGTGATTCTGTTTTTGGTATTTCTTAAAATCCACAACAAGTTTTTCCATCCATTCTGTTAACAATTCCAAAAAGTGAATGCTACGTTTAAAATGGCCTCAGACCTCTGAGCTTACAAAAGTGAACCAAAAAAGATGGAGAAAAATGTTCATATCCCTGTCCTAAGGGTTAATTCTAATCCTGAGGATGTCAAGTAGGGTGTCATAAAAAATAAAAAGTCAGGCTGAGGAAAATGTGATTATTAATTTCTACAATTTCTTTGGAGTAAAGTGACGTCCAGGAGAATTCTCAAATCAAAATTCCAGGGTTCCAAGAAGTTTTGGGGTGACCCCAGATCAACACCGCTCAGTTGAACTTTCTGTGATGGTAGAAGTGTTCCATATTACTGCTGTCCAATATGGTAGCCGTTGTGGCAACTGGGTGCATGAAATGTGGCTAGTGTGACTGACAAATTGGACTTTTAATGTTTTAAATTTTTAATTAATTTTAATTTAAAGAGCCATGTGATTGGTGGGTCCCTGTTGGACAGTGTGGCTCTAGATCATCACTAGTATAAAATGCCTGAGAAACAGATTATGTCTTACGAAATCTTAGAGGTTTATGTTTTTATTAAAGTAAGACCAATGGGATTCCAGGGACCACAAATGAGGACAATTTTAACTGCTCCTGTGCCTTCTGAAGTTCTAATACATAGGTCTGACATAAGAATGAAAATTGCTTCTTATGAATAATGAGAGATAAAACTTTTATGGCAGCAACTTGCTAAGCAAACTGTATATTACTGAGTCATGACAAGAATATTCAACCCTAGTGACTATGATTATCATACCTATTACATGGATGATAAAAACTGAGACACAGATGTATTACCTGGTTAGCAGGAGGTCTTATGGATCTTAACTGATGGAACTGCTGTTTGAAGTAAATATAACACTGTGCAATTATCTGCTCTACTATCTTAAGCTCACCATGTACCACAGTGGATCCACTCTTCTTGGTTTTACTAAGTTTCAATCTACTTTCCTTCTAATCTGAACCAGAACTAACACTGGGATATAGACATGAAGATGCTTTCACTTGCCTTCTTAGCTTTAGCATAGTTTATAATCAAGAGGTGTAATTTTCTGTTTCTTTGCACAAACATCAAGATACTTACCTGCCAGGTCAAGTGGAAACTGCAGCATGCTCCAAGTCCATATAACAAGGATGGCATAGACTAGTGCAGGGCTATTCCTAGGATACAGACCAAATTTTAAATTTGTAATAAACAGTATGATCCCATGAGAAAGAGAAAAATCTTCTCAGCTTATTTTTTAGTATATCCTTAATAAACCTCTTGTGGCCAAAATATCCAGTGATTTAATAAATCAGTGAAAAAATTTCTTGCATAATAATGGAATAATAAAGAAGAAGTGAAAAATAAATAATCAGAGACTTAAAACCCAACATATGCATGAATTATGACAAAGCCTCTTCTTTAGTTTTACCAAATTATGGAAGCATTATGGGAGAGAAATGATAAGGGAGGAAATGTAGATATTGACATGGATATTCAAACAGCTGATTTCAAGGAATGTCAGCAGAGGAGATTAATAATTATTCTAAGAAACCAGGGATCTAATTGAAAAGACATTTCAAAAGAGCTAAATGATGCTCAAAAATTAAAAACACAACATTGAAAGAAAATTGTCATTAGATAGGGAAAAGTAAAGAGATAAATCTAATAAAGATTTATACCAGATAGTAGAATGTAAGGCAAGGAATAAGCCTGTTTCATTCATCACTGTATCCTCAGTGCCTAGAACAGTGCTTGATGGATAACAGGTATTCAGCATATATTTGTGGAAGAAATGGTGAAGGCACAAAAGCAGAGCCTATACTCAGACCAATATATGAATGTCCTAGACCTAGGAAAATGGTCATGAAGACTACAATCAGAAAGAATAGAGGTTACAGAAATGCAAAGGATGTTAAAAAGGGCCACATTTATTTTTAGCAAAGATAGAAAGGAAGTCATCCATTTGAGCTTGGTGGTATAATAACAGATTTTGTTTCCATCTTCTGTCAAGAGAGATTTTCAGATTGGAGAAGTCTGAAAAGCATCAGGGAGGAGTAATTGAAACCAAAAGAAATGAGGTGATTTTAAGGAATATCTTTAAATGCTTCAAGTGTAGAGGCATTAAATGCAAAATTAAATCTCTAAACTCTGAGAGAATTTATAAATGAAGTTTCTATACCATCATTATCTGTTTTGACAGTTAATGGTGGAGACAAGGTTGGTGATAGAAAAATAAAGTCTCATCTTTCAAAATGAAGCAGAAATATGTCTTAAAGTGCAAAAGGCACATTTACTATTAATCTCTAGTTAGATTATAAAAATTATTCTTTAAAAGATTTCTGAGAGCCCTTTTAGAAACAGACAGATATTACAAAGTGTCATCACAGCTTCTGTGAGAAATATTGCACTCAACTAAACTTAGCTACTCTATCAAAAAAATGTAGTTAGGATTACCAAGCAGGTAAATCTGTAAAAGTTGATGACAGACATTCAGATTTAAACTAGGTTTCTGAAAAAGTCTATAGTGTCCTCATTAACAAAATTAAGAAATATTCCAGGTGTGAAGATTGTTAGATGGATTCCTGTGTAAATGACTCCCCATAGGGAGACTCTCCAATGGGTTGCTGAAGGTTGTGCTTTTGATTCTTTTCTACTTCACATTTTATCATGACTTGGTTGACATTGATGGAAGGCTTCTCATATGCACATATGGCATGGAGCGTGGATAGAAAACCAGTACCCTGGAAGACAAAATCAGGATTCCAAAAGAAGTAACTGGATGACCTAGATTAGAATAGAATTGGATACAAGAGACAGCATTTCACAGCAGCAGCCATAAAAAAAAGGGCTCAAAGATTTTCCCTTACTATTATCTCATTATGAGTCCACAGTATGACAAAATGTACAATTTACCAAAATCAAATAAAATCATATGTTGCTTCACAAGAAATATAATGTCTCAAATTTTAAGTGGAAGTGCCTTGGGAATTCAGACTATAACTTTTCCTTCTTTACACTGTCAATATCTATACACAACAGATATTTAATAAGTGCCTGAATTTTTAAATAATGTTATATGTAGTTTCTGATTTCAGACGTACATGCCAGGAAGTTTTCTAAATGTTTAACTCTATGATCACACTTAATCCTCATACCAACTCAACAAAGTAGACACAATTATTATCTCTATTTTACCAATGAGGTAACAGAAACTTGAGGAAATTTGTCCAAAATAATCTGGTTATGAGTGCTGGGAGCAGAAATCAAAACTAGACAGCTGATTTCAGTATCTACCCTTTAAACCATTACATTATATTATTTCCATGAATGAAATTGAAACTTTTAGTTCTCCTCTATTCTATAATGTTCAGAACATACCTGAAATATTATGCGTCGTGCTTCATGTTTTAGGAGAAACATTTACAAAGTTTCCTGTACCAAAGGGGAAAAACCAGAATGGTAAAGGAATTCAGAGTCATGATCTATGTGAAATAGTTCAAGAAACTGAAAACTAGAGAAAATTCCTTAGAAGTTTTATTTTATATGTTTAAGGGCTATAGTGTGGAAAAGGAATGAAACATTTCTTTTGACTTGAGATGGCCAATTCAGACTCAAAGGATTTCAGTTGTATCTGTAAGAATTCAAATTTCATCACAATAGCAGAAAGCAGTTTCTCATAATATTACCTGAAATAGAACAAGTTGCCCCTTGGGGTGAGTATATCTTCTATTAGTGGAGTTTTTCAAACAAAGCCTATAGAAAAATTTGTTGAGGATATTTTGGCGAGGATGTTTCAATAGATGCAAAAGAGTTTTCACGAGATCGTTACTTTTGAAGTTTCATCTAGTCCAAAACTTCAGTAATTCTATCAAAAACTATGTGCAATTTGCCTGCAAGGCAGTAAAAAGCAGGGGCAAAGCAGGGGGCTTTGGTGCCAAGGGACCAGAGTTCTAACACCAGCCCAACTCTCAGTGAAGAAATAGGATGTGAGACTCTATTTCCAGATTGATCACTTATTAGTTATATGAATATGAATAAGTAGTTTAACATCTGTATACTTTACCCATTTATATTGTGAGGAATACAATATTAATAGTTATTGGATTATATGATAATTTTATTAAGTATATTAATTAAATGTTAAACATATAAAGCTCCTAGAACAGCATGTGACACAAGCTATTACAGTAGATCACTACAAGTTAGTTATTTTTGGTTTCATATAATCTTGAGACTTTCTTAATTTTCCTTGCCTGACATGCCTTTGCTATAATAATGCTATTTACCTCATAGTGTGAATGTAAAGGCACAATAATTTATTAAATTAAAGCATTTAAGACTTCTTAGCACACAGTGAGTGATAAATAAACATTACATAATTGTAGCAGTGGTAATTTTACTGGTATGTCAACACACTTCTTAAAATCTTTATATATTATTCATCATCTTACAAAATAGGGATAAATGATATACTAACCCTAGCCCTAAATGAATCCAACTTTAACCACACAATAATGAATGCACGCTTTTCAGATATGCATATATTATCTATGCACACACAAAATATACAAGAATGTGGGTGTTGACATACTAGTAAAACATACTAGTAAAATTATCAAACAAAATTTTGGAATAGTAAGTCAGAAAATTTTTAAAGCAGGCAAATATGAATTATTAAACAGTAAAAATTCTCAGCAAGGTTAAATGTTAGAATGTAAATAAATCAGGGATGTTAATGGCTAACACTGAAGATCTGCAAAGGAATTTTAGGGGTGGATTTATTCTCCACTGTCCCCATGTGTGTAATCTGCCTTCACAAATGTCAACTGAGAAGTATGTAAGTAGACAATGAACTTGATTCAGAGACAGACAAAAAAAACTTGGGAAGTTTAATTATTGGCATTAGTATCACGTTTCTATTTGAAAAGCTAGGAACATAAAAGACTGGCATTTGGCATATTAGCACACTCAATCTGGTGGTTGAAAATAAAAATAAAAAGTCATATTTTGCCAATTTGCTTAGCGATTTCTTTTTGGAAGTGTAAATATCCTTGTAGAAAAGAGAGAATCAATGGACAGAATTTGTCTAGTTTCTTTTTTAATTACAAATACAATCAGAAAAGGAAAAAATAACTAAAAAAGAAGAAAAAATTAATTATTCACCTATCCTAGAAGAAATATTTCTCCATCTCTTCCAGGTGAAAGAGAGATTGACCTTAACTCTGCAAAATAAAGAGAAAACACAATGTAAACATAGGAAGAGTCTCCTTTGTATGGTCAAGTAATCACAGTGAAATGTTAGTAATGCTGTGAGAACAAATGATCTATTAATGTTGGAGAAAAAAAAAAAAGACTGCACAAATTGATCTCCAAAGATGTAAATGGCCAGGGAGCTCTTTGTGGCAATGATGTTGAAATTCTGACTTAGGAAAATTTTGGAAGGTGGCTGTAGCAAAATGAAAAGGTCAATAAATCCCCTTCCCAACAAACAAGTATAATACTAAAAAATTTGTCAAAAACAACCATCAGGGCTTGGAAAATCAACCAAAGGCAAACAACAAATTGAGTAACATTTATTCATGAAAAACTAGGCAAGCTTCAAGTAAGAACAGTGAAAATCTGAAGCATTCTTACCCATATATTCATTTTCCTATCCCCAGCTTGGCTATGTTTGTTTGTTTTTTGTTTGTTTGTTTTGTTTTGTTTTTAATTGCACGGAATGAAGTTAAACAGATGAGGAAGAAGTTATTCAAGTCTATTGCAATGCAGGAGAAAAGATTAAACTCAACTCTGCTGAAACAAAAAGTAGCAGAGTTTTCAAAAACTGGGGTGACCTACTTGAAAAGTACTGGAGAATGTCAGGATAGGGGTTAGTAAATTTGATTAGGCCACTGGTAATTTTCACTTTTCAAAGTAGGATCTTACCCTCTCACCGAGGCAGGGAGATAGGGGCTCCATCTTTCATTAAGACTGCATTTTAAGAGATGGCTCCCAGGTCCTCGAGAAAGATATTGTTGCATTGCAAACTGGCAAGAGGCTGGAAAATTTACATCTCAAAGGGACAGAAATAGAAGGGACCTATATTCAGAAAAAAGAATGTCTGAAGTTGATTCAAGTTGTGGGAATGGTAAGACTAACTATCTTGATCAGTTAAAGTGGTAATTTTACCAGTGAC